AAAAAATTCACTAAATTAGTGGTATTTCAAAAAGAATTGCACTAAATCAATGCTATTGAAAAAATAATCAAACTTTATGAGTATGTAATACATATTTACTGGATTGGTGTTCGCCATTCACTTCAGTAATCTTTATGATAGCTGACATAATACTTATATACATAATGTTTTTTTTGGCTTGGACAAAATTTAGTGGTAGCGCATTTTTTGAAATATCACTAAATTTAGTGGTAGTGCTATTAGAATTTCAGTATCACTAAATGTTAATGGTAGTGCATTTTTTTAAATATCACTAAATTTAATTGTATCTTACCTGTAATGACTTAATCCACTAGAGCTACAGTTGCCGTGTCGCTCCGATGAAGGTTTATTTGGGTGACCTTGATCATTGGCCTTCCACTAGACGGGCTTATTGAGAGTCGCTAATGTCTGTTCCCACTTGTTTTGTGTTCGTATTTCTCCTCCTCACTGTCGCTTTTGGTTAACTCGTCCCAGCCGATTTTTGCTTTATTATTCTTGAGTAGCCATGGAGAGATCGTCAACTGTCGCTCACTTCTTCTATTAACTTGTGCGCCTCCTCCTTTATGATGATTCGCAAAACGGTAGTATTGTTGCAGTCAAATCCGGAGTCTGAGATGCTTCCTGTCGTTGAAGGCTAGGTCGAGCGTAAACTTTCCCGAAGTTCCTCAGAATTCCTTGTATATATTTTTGCCCAAAGGCTATGTGCTTGTAGCAATACCTTCGACCATAGACGCTAAGACACCCACATCTGCCTAACCTCATCTAAATCCGTCTTTAGCCATATGGTACCGATGGGGAATAAATTATGTTGTTGGATGAGTTCTTGATGTAGATGTAAGACTTTTACCAAGCCCTGTTTTTAACTACACATCAGAAAATCGAATGTGTAAATCAGAAGATTATGGAGAAATTCAAACTAAGTCCCCTTATCCGTTCTAATAAAAGAAGAAATGTTTTTGGGTTTAATATTGACGTTTAGTGGACATAGATTAACTATTTTATGTCTTATTGGACAATATTTAGACACGCAAGAAAATTTATATAATTAAAACATGTATGACAGGTAATTAGTTTATATATGTTTATTCTTTAATATTATTTAGTTATATGCGTCAAATTTTTAATGGACTCAATACATTGTATGGACTATTGTGTCCTTTTCAAATAGTTGTCTAACTTTCATACATCCATCGGAGCCACATGAGAATAGCCGACCATATCCATCAATGTGTATTTGGCTAACGCCTTGCCCAATATGTTTGAAGAAACTATTTTTGGCATGCTCCCCGGAAAACGTCTTTATCAGTGAATACTGGTTGAGGCTCCATATCTGAAATGGAAAAAAATTATATGTTTAATGTTTAAAAATTTGTTATAAATGGGCCTGTCAATTGAAATCTATGTGATACAAAAATAATAAAATGTGCAACATCAGAATAATGATATTTGGCTTTTTTTTCTTAGTTATCACGTATCTCAAATTCCTGCCTGCTAAATGAGAGGGCCATCACCTCAATCAGGCTGGTCCTCAGTATCATTCTAACATCCTCTATAATTTTTTCTGCTAACAATTTAAACAGAGTGTAGTTAAAAAACTGAACCTTAGTGGTTATTAGTAACTTCTTGTCCGTCGAAAAAAACGAATGCGTGGAGTACCTCTTCGGTATAGGATGGTATAGGAGTTTCTTTTATTTCTTATCTATATATATAAAAAACAATTGTTGTTCGTTGGTATCAGATGAGAACGGCTGAACCGAGTTAGGTTTTTAAAGAAAAAATATTGACCACGCCTACTTTTACGCCCACTATTTCGACTTATCTAAAATCCTTATATTTGCCAAAATAATGAAGACATCGATATACTGTTGACGATATACTGTTGACTTTCCATCCAATGCTAAGTATTTATTTGGGGGCTGTGGAACTGACCATGCCTACTTTTAATCTATATAAACCAATTGTTGTTCGTTAGTGAAACTTTTATTTATGTAAACGAGATTCAGATTAGAGTACATAACGTAGTATCTGCCGCAGATTTATGTTTTAAATAACTTTCTAATATAAGTAATGACAATATGATATACATATATGCTCATTTTGATTAACGCATTAATGCTATTTTGCAATCAATTGAATTTCTAATCCAACAAATGAAACGATAAAATACCAATGATTATATGATAGAACTACTTTTAAAAATAATCCCTTTATTTTTATAAAAATATGTTTCCTGACCTAATCTGATTAAAAGGAGCTGATTTTTTATTTTAATTTAGTTTTAAATGATAAAAAATACATATATTCATACATTTTTTATTAAAATGAGTAATATTATTTGAAGTAATTTTTATTTGAAAACTTTGTATGCATCAAAGCACATACTTTTTAATAAATACATATTTTATTTTTAAGGCGTTAGTATCATTTATCTGGAGATATTTTTTTCAGTTTTAAAAATACAAGCTCATTTTTTCTTATTTTACATAGGCAACATTCTACAATACAAAATTGGTTTCATAACTGGTATGTAGAATGCATGTTTTTTTCAGACTTTACAGAAGCAACATTCTACCATAAAAATTTGCTTCTTGTACCCATTCATATAGTATATGGAATGCATGCCTTTTTCATGTTTTAAAGTAGTTAATTTTTTAAAATACATGAAATACTTCATGGCAAAAAAAAAAAAAAAAAAAAAACATTTATTTCTTGTACACGTTCCTATTTTCATTTACTCCCTTTTTCAACTAAACCCAGTATTTTTTTTTTTTTTTACTTTATGAAAGGCGTTCATGAAAGGCAGGAATTTGAACCTTGGCCATACTTGATGCACTCTATACCTAATATGCAGTAATATTTTCAGTGTAATAAGTGTATCGATTGCGCGTTCCATGTCTTTGAGTAAGAACGATATTATACTTATCGGTCGATAAGACTGAGGTATTGCGTAACTTGCCTTACCATCCTTTACCATCGATTTACCAAGTTTTGGTTCTTCATCAGTCACATTTCCTCTATCTTCCTGTATATCTACGTGTGTCGTGATGCTCGGCGGGAATTGTGTGTTCATCAAAAAAGTTTCCATCTTATTCCCCCATATCATCTACCATTGCCTCGGCTTGTGTATGGTTTCTAGAAAGAAACTTTTTAATTTTGATCATTTAGGATTGCGTTTCGCTTTTCTTACTATTTTGTTGTATTCTTTAAGTTTAATACGGTAGCTATCCCAGAATACTTTACATAGAGCTCTATTGTAAAGCCTGCGGACCGCTTTTCCTCTTCTTTCCTGTCTTCCAGGATTTTTCGTAGGCAGATGCCCCCTCTCGGAGGGGACAACATTCTTCGAATGACTTTGCTAAGGTCTCCGTTAACCTATTGACATCTCTGTCTATATCATCTATGCTTAAGCATTCTATGTTTCCTTGTCCTAACCTTTCTTTGACTAGTCTCCCAAACCTTATCCAGTCAGTGTTGGATTTGTTCCAAAAAAGTATTGGGATCGGCGAATGTCGCTTTAGTTCAAATCTTATATACCGATGATCCGAAAAGGAGTGTTTATCCGAAACCCTTTAATTCTGTTTCTCGTTTATAAGATTCTTTGAACAAAAAGTAGTGTCTAAAACATCCTCCCTAATTTTATTTACAAAGGTTACTTTCCCAATGTTACATATTATACAAGTTCTCGGTCGAGACCCTATATTGGCATAGAGCAATTGATAGTTAAAATGTTTTAGTCTAGAGACCTTCTTCTGAACAGAGATGGGCATAATGCATCATATTTTTAGTGCACTAATAATTTTCTATAACTATTCATTTAGTTATTATATTGCACGACCACTAAATATTAGTGGTAGTGAATTTCCAATAGCACTACCACTATATTTAGTGGTATTAAAAAAATTCACTAAATTAGTGGTATTTCAAAAAGAATTGCACTAAATCAATGCTATTGAAAAAATAATCAAACTTTATGAGTATGTAATACATATTTACTGGATTGGTGTTCGCCATTCACTTCAGTAATCTTTATGATAGCTGACATAATACTTATATACATAATGTTTTTTTTGGCTTGGACAAAATTTAGTGGTAGCGCATTTTTTGAAATATCACTAAATTTAGTGGTAGTGCTATTAGAATTTCAGTATCACTAAATGTTAATGGTAGTGCATTTTTTTAAATATCACTAAATTTAATTGTATCTTACCTGTAATGACTTAATCCACTAGAGCTACAGTTGCCGTGTCGCTCCGATGAAGGTTTATTTGGGTGACCTTGATCATTGGCCTTCCACTAGACGGGCTTATTGAGAGTCGCTAATGTCTGTTCCCACTTGTTTTGTGTTCGTATTTCTCCTCCTCACTGTCGCTTTTGGTTAACTCGTCCCAGCCGATTTTTGCTTTATTATTCTTGAGTAGCCATGGAGAGATCGTCAACTGTCGCTCACTTCTTCTATTAACTTGTGCGCCTCCTCCTTTATGATGATTCGCAAAACGGTAGTATTGTTGCAGTCAAATCCGGAGTCTGAGATGCTTCCTGTCGTTGAAGGCTAGGTCGAGCGTAAACTTTCCCGAAGTTCCTCAGAATTCCTTGTATATATTTTTGCCCAAAGGCTATGTGCTTGTAGCAATACCTTCGACCATAGACGCTAAGACACCCACATCTGCCTAACCTCATCTAAATCCGTCTTTAGCCATATGGTACCGATGGGGAATAAATTATGTTGTTGGATGAGTTCTTGATGTAGATGTAAGACTTTTACCAAGCCCTGTTTTTAACTACACATCAGAAAATCGAATGTGTAAATCAGAAGATTATGGAGAAATTCAAACTAAGTCCCCTTATCCGTTCTAATAAAAGAAGAAATGTTTTTGGGTTTAATATTGACGTTTAGTGGACATAGATTAACTATTTTATGTCTTATTGGACAATATTTAGACACGCAAGAAAATTAATATAATTAAAACATGTATGACAGGTAATTAGTTTATATATGTTTATTCTTTAATATTATTTAGTTATATGCGTCAAATTTTTAATGGACTCAATACATTGTATGGACTATTGTGTCCTTTTCAAATAGTTGTCTAACTTTCATACATCCATCGGAGCCACATGAGAATAGCCGACCATATCCATCAATGTGTATTTGGCTAACGCCTTGCCCAATATGTTTGAAGAAACTATTTTTGGCATGCTCCCCGGAAAACGTCTTTATCAGTGAATACTGGTTGAGGCTCCATATCTGAAATGGAAAAAAATTATATGTTTAATGTTTAAAAATTTGTTATAAATGGGCCTGTCAATTGAAATCTATGTGATACAAAAATAATAAAATGTGCAACATCAGAATAATGATATTTGGCTTTTTTTTCTTAGTTATCACGTATCTCAAATTCCTGCCTGCTAAATGAGAGGGCCATCACCTCAATCAGGCTGGTCCTCAGTATCATTCTAACATCCTCTATAATTTTTTCTGCTAACAATTTAAACAGAGTGTAGTTAAAAAACTGAACCTTAGTGGTTATTAGTAACTTCTTGTCCGTCGAAAAAAACGAATGCGTGGAGTACCTCTTCGGTATAGGATGGTATAGGAGTTTCTTTTATTTCTTATCTATATATATAAAAAACAATTGTTGTTCGTTGGTATCAGATGAGAACGGCTGAACCGAGTTAGGTTTTTAAAGAAAAAATATTGACCACGCCTACTTTTACGCCCACTATTTCGACTTATCTAAAATCCTTATATTTGCCAAAATAATGAAGACATCGATATACTGTTGACGATATACTGTTGACTTTCCATCCAATGCTAAGTATTTATTTGGGGGCTGTGGAACTGACCATGCCTACTTTTAATCTATATAAACCAATTGTTGTTCGTTAGTAGATGGAAATCAGTTGAGACCGGCTGGAACCATTTGGATATATATTTTTTTAATGTTAGGACGAACATTTAGGTTTAGGTTTTCATGCAACGAAAAAGTGACCACGCCCAATTTTGAGCCAATTTTTCGATTTATCTAAAACCCTTATATTTGCTAAAATCATGAAAATATCTGTTCCACGCTATCGTCAGTAATTACACTGCGCCGCAGACAATCTTGGGATTAGGAATTTTTTTGGTTGGTAAATAAAAATCCCAAAAGAGGGGTTCCCGGATCTAACATTTTTAGAGGCCATTTTATATAGCATAACCATACACAAAGGACCGGAAATATTTTCCCCAATACTCCGCAAAAGTTACGATAAAGCTTTAACTTTGATACAGTCCTAGGGGTTACATGAGAAATCATTTGTACAAAAAATGTTTCAGGTTGGTCTACATTGTGATATAGCCCCTCTCAAATGATACAGTCCCTTTAAAATTCCACAAATGTTGGTTATTTGATATTTTATAAAAAAAATCTTTCAAATAATAATAAGTATAGGACTTCATTCATTATAACTCTTATGTGAAGGTGGTGTCCGGTGATTTTAGCTATTAACAGGATCTTGGTCACGTTTTTCAATTGATTTTGACCTTATTTGGCATCTAGCTTCTGGAAGAAGACCTCTTCGCGGAAAATTTTCAACGGAGTGGCGCTCGTATTAAGGTACCTCCTAATTTTACCTATTTCGAGGTTTTGATTAAATTTTCGAATCGATTTGACTTAAAATGTGTGTTTAGGCTACTTTGGGGGTAGAGAGCCGTCTTACATGGGCCTATTATAAACAGTTTATGTATACTTTCTAATATATATGCTATATTATTTAGGTTTTTAACTCTCAAACTAAAACCTCTTACTGAAAAATAGGATCAGGTTTTTGAAAGACGTATTTATTTCTATTTAATCGAGTCATCATTTATACTAAAAATTGTGCCACTCATATGAGCGTGTGAAAACTATGCATTAAAGACTAAAACTACGGACCGGCAACGCAGACAATTGAATTCTATTCGAACAATTCTGTTTCGATTATTGAAATAACATTAACCAGGTACATTCATATAGACTTTAAAGTGGTTCTTCATGTAACCCAAAGGTCAGTATCAAATTTTGAAGCGCTATGTTAAATTTTGTGAAGTATAGAGCAATTTGTTTGAAGCCCTTTGTGTATGGTTAAGGATATTTATAAAAATGGCACAAAAAGGTTGGTCTGGGAAGCCAGTAAGATTTTCTAAACCGGTTAATAAAACATACGCAAATAACCGCAATACTGTGTTAAGTGATTCAAATCCATCTTAAACTATAAATATTCTCGAACTACATTATCATAAAGAGGCTTAACGCTTAATAAAGCGTAGAAAACACACAAAACATCCGTAATTCTTTCTCAAGCGATTCAAAGCAATCTAATTTTTGGGAGTCAGCCGTTCTCGATTTCTATGTCCGATTTCTGAAAATGCAGAGGAAATAATTGCACTCACCCTCGACCATTTTCTTATAGTTGTTCCCCTCTTATTTCTTTAACAGTACCAATAAACGGCATAAAACGTGTTTTAACAATACCAATAAACGGTATTCTTCCGATTTATACTTATGCTCTAATGTAAATCCTGTAACAGCTTCGAGTCCTTGTCTAAAGACTCCGGTTGAAGTCCAATCTTCAGAAGTTACCCCTAATAATCCACAGATTCCGCCTCCAATAATCATATGTGCTCCAGAAAATGCTCCTTCTACTAGTAATAACGATTTAATCGTAGTTGCTCCCAGGAAAAGTATATTTGTTTCTAGACTACATCCTAGTACTTCTGTAGATAACATTAGTAATTATATCAAGTCCAAAATTCAAAATGTTCTTGATAATGATTATAACATTTTGAAATTTAACTCATCTATACCACGTGATTTATCATCATTTAAAATAATGGTTCATTCTAAATTGTATGATCTAATATTAAAAGATTCTTTTTGGCCAGACGGTACATTGGTAAAAGAATTTGAATTTAGAAAAAGGCGAAATTTTGTAAAACCAATAACGCTACCTTCTGATTCGAATGTCCCAAAAAACTAAATAAATCTATATCGTTGCTTTATCAAAATGTTAGAGGCCTAAATACTAAACTTAAAAATACATATTTAAAGTCTTTTGAATCAGATCTTAAAATTCTCGTTTTTACAGAAACTTGGCTTAAACCGGATATACGTGATACTGAAATCTTATCCGACCAATACCAACTTTTTAGAAATGATAGATTAAATAAAGTTGGTGGAGGTGTACTCATAGCAGTTCACAATTCCATTTCCTCTGAGCGTGTTATGCTTACTGATAGTCAAGATGTTGAATTTGTATGTGTGAAATTATCTTACATTAACCAAACAATTTACATAACATGTTCGTATATTCCTCCAAATTCTGATTCAAACATTTATTTAAAACATTCTGAATTAATTAAAAACGTTTCACATATTCACTCGCCAAATTCTGAATTAATTTGTCTTGGAGATTTTAACTTACCAAATATATCGTGGATCCTTGATGATGCCACGGCACATTATGTACCTGTTTCGTCAACAGTACTGTCTAACGATATGGAAAATTTTTGGCAAAATATTTTTGACCAAGGTCTATATCAACTCAATAATATTTATAATTTTAAAGGTAAAATATTAGACTTAGTGTTTTCTTCATCCGTTAATACTTCATTAAGTAAATGTTCACCTTTTCACCCAACACTTGTCATAGACCTTGAACTTAATATTCAAACAAATTATACAAAACCACAAACTAAGACTCACAAATTAAATTTTTCTAAGGCTAATATTGATCTCCTTCGTTCTATATTGTCCAATTCAAGTTGGTCTCATGAAGGTGACATTGAATTGCAAATTTCAAATTTTCATAGCGTACTTAAAAATGGGTTAACTATATCAGTTCCATTATTGAAGTTCTATCCTGACTCAGGACCAGTTTGGTTTACCCCACATATTAGGTTATTTAAAAAATTTAAAGAATGTAATACCACTTTAAATTATAAAAAATATTCACAAGCTCGAAGTAAATATAACATTGAAAATTTAAAGTCTTATTCGATTTATTTAAGAAAAATGAAAAATAACTTTCAGAAGAGTCCTAAAAGCTTTTATAAATTTGTAAATTCAAAACGTTAAGTTCGCGAATTTCCTAGTAGCATGAAACTTGGTTGCAGGGAATCAGAGGACCACCTTGAAATAGCAAATTTGTTTGCTGACTTTTTTCAAAATACTTATTCTAAGCCTTCATCCAATCATAATGACAATTATGCTTATAATATTAGTAGATTAAATTATTTCCCCCAAATTATTCTGTCTGAGGAGGAGGTTTTAAATGGTCTTCTATCGTTAAAAAGTAGTAATTCCCCTGGTCCTGATGGAGTACCTGCTTACATTTTAAAGTCATGCGCATATGAGCTTTATTTACCTTTAACCACTATATTTAATTATTCTTTGACATCTGGTTATTTTCCTCAAGTATGGTGATCTAGTTTTATTATTCCTTTGCATAAAGCTGATAATAGAAGTGTCGTCGAAAATAATAGGGGTATTGCAAAATTAAGTGCAATACCGAAATTATTTGAGTTTTTAGTCTCGCGTAGACTAACGCACTTTGTTTCGTCTATTTTCGCCTTACCAACATGGATTTGTAAAGGGTAGGTCAACTGTAACTAATTTATTAGAACTTATATGTTATGTACACAGGGGGTTTTCAATAAAATGCTAAACTGATATTATATATACTGATTTCAGTAAGGCTTTTGACAAAGTGGATCACACTTTATTATTACATAAACTTGACAAAATGGGTTTCGCAACATTATTTTTATCATGGATATCATCTTATTTGCAAGGGCGTACACAGAGAGTTTCTTTCAATAATGTTCTTTCTAAACAGATAACTGTGTATTCTGGTGTCCCCCAGGGTAGCCATTTAGGTCCTCTATTTTTTGTATTGTATCTAAATGACCTTCCAACGGTTATACGTTACTCTAAGATCCTAATGTTTGCTGATGATGTCAAACTTTTTTGTAATATGGACTCTCACATTAGTTCCCTTAACTTGCAACATGATATCTACTGCCTTGTTAATTGGTGCAGTTCTAATGGTATGACGCTAAGTCTCAAGAAATGTAAAAAACTGTCTTTGTTTAGAACACAACCTTTTAAAAGTGATTACTTCATTGGTTCTTACAAATTGGACAATGTAGACTCATTCGTTGATCTTGGTGTAATTTTAGACAATAAATTGCGTTTTAATTTGCATATTGATTCATGTGTAAATAAA